CCGAGTGTTTTGATTGGACGAACATTTCTTGATCCTACGCCTTCCACAGAATATATAAATACAGACAAATACATTTAGACCACTTAACTTAATATTAATGATTGCTATCGGGATGTGAAAAGACTTTCAACCAGCATAACAAAAAATGTTTCTGAAGACAATCACCTATTGCACATTTAACATCTTGATTATTTATGTCTCAAAGTCACATGAGGGTTTCTACTACTGAAAAACAGAGAGAAAAGTCACCACAGAGCTGGATTGCGCAGAAGGAAAACAGTATTCAAAATAAATTGAACATGAAGACTTGAGTAAATATGCGCGATGCGCTCGAAGATGTCGTTGACGAAAGAGTTCATGATCTCCAGTGCCTTGGAGGAGATCCCGGTGTCAGGATGAACCTGCTTCAGGACTTTGTACACGTAGATCGCGTAGCTCTCTTTCCTGGACCTCTTGCACTTCTTTCCTCCTTTGCCGGCGGTCTTCGTGATGGCCTTCTTTGAGCCCTTTTTGGGCGCGGATTTCGCTGGTTCAGGCATGATTCTCTCTTCAGAAACACTCAAAGTTGAATGAATTTCTCTAGAACACACGGGTGTTTATGCACTGCGCTATGCTAATTTCGAAAGGGAAAACGGCGGTCTGTGATTGCGTGTCTCCATTGACCAACCCACAAAATGATTTCATTGGCCACATTAAAGCCAATGCGAAGCTTTGAAATGTTAATCCCGCCCATCACTTTATGTTTTACATCTACCATCCCCCATCCGTTGAGAAGGGTGTTCCTGCACAACCGGAGGCTGCAGTTTCAGGACCGCATTTCTAGGACCGCAGTTCTAGGACCCTATTCTTTTGTAAAAGCGCCACCTACCGAATTGGATAATGTAGCGGAGGCTGCAGTTTCAGGAACGCATTTCTAGGACCCTGGTGGTTTAGTTTGTAGTAATGTTTGTGCATGTTGTTAAAGATAATTAATCTCAGGAACAGTTTTTTTATTATTATTTCAATTGTGATTTTTGATTTATAACGGCATCAGATGTTAATTGCAAAGTGTGTAATACCTGCTTTGAGTTAACCATTTTAAATTTAAATTAATTTACACTTAAAATATAAATAAAGAATTTCAGTCTTTAAACAACTGAAAAAGTGGAGTACCTTAAGTCTTAGTTTCTTGAACTATACTGTATATTGATTAGCCCCCTTAAGTTTAACTAATTAGCTCATTATCAGGTATATTAAAGATGGAATCAAATGAAATCAGCATTTGCAGTCACTAAATTACAGCCAGATATTTAAAAGTTTGTAGAGAGGCGAGACACAAGACTCAAGAATGATTCAAGAATGTAAATTTATATATACTCATTTTTGCAATAACACATAATACAACATCATAAAAAAATACCCTCTTTTCCATCAGTTGCTGCATGGACAGAAAAGTTGTAGGCTTCAACTCCTGAGAAAGACAGAGAGAGAGAGAGAGAGAGAGAGAGAGAGAGGGAGGGAGGGAGAATTAAAAAAAAAACATTTTACATTTTAC